GCAGCTTATTATCAGGAGCTTCTCGTAAAATCCATGCTTTTATTATTGCATTAGTGTCTGTATCTTCATTACTTTAAAACAATAATTTCAAAAATCATTTCAATTAGTTTAAAAAAATTTTTTTGAAAAAAATTTTTATTTTATTTCTAGTTTTTTTTTCTCTCTCTCTCAACCTGATAGTTCTAAAACACAAATCTTGACATTCTTAAAACAAGTTGAGTACTATGAGACTTACATAGGAGACAAATTTTTTTTTATTTTACTTCACCTCCTCAGGGTCAAGAAGGCCACTACAGACGAGGAGGCTACTTATTTTGTGGCTATAACCCTCTCTCAACTCTATAACTCCGAAACACGAACCTTGACCAACAAAGCCGCTGCGCGGAGAAACGAGTTGAGCGCGGTACTACCAGGGACGTGGTGGGGATTGAACTCGGAACCACTCGTTTATGAAGCGAGCGTTCTACCACTACACCACTACCGCATATAAGTTAACAAATAGTCTGCTACTGCATCACTGTACCCTTTAAGAACTACATAATTAATTATATTTTTAATTAAGTATATTTTATTGCAATTAAACTGTTAAACTAAAAATTACCTCAAAAATATCATTCCCATTCTAGAAACAGTTGCAGGAGATGCAGAACTTAAATCATGTGTCTCAAACAAAAAATTCACATTTGGTCCAAACTGTATTCTTTCACCTGAAGGCATTGTTAATAATCTATTATCATCTAAAACTGAATTAAGTGATTCTACCCATTCAGGATCAATATCTCCATCACATATAATCCAAGATTGTACTTCTAATGGTTCTTTTACAACTTCACGAGCAGCCTTGGTTAACACACCATCTGACCATTCTCGAGTGTCTATATCAATTTGACCAAGTAGCTAAGGTATTCAAATTTTAAAACTATTAATAAACAAATACTAAAAGCATCAAAAGTAAATAGTAATATAAAGACCAAAAAATATTTAAAAGTAAATTAATAATTTAAAAAATCTTTAGTCATATTTTTCTACTTAGACAAAAAATGATTTTATATGCACATTAGTTTAACAATATATATGCTTGTTGTACCTGAGTTCTTGGCATAGCTTTTGGGTTCATAGTATATTGTTTCACAGTTTGACCAACCTTTCCTAAAGCTAGCCGTAACATTGACCAAAGACATGTCTTCCCAGATCCACTAGGACCAACTACTACTACACCCATTCTTTGACGCAACTGTTCATATAACTCTAAAGCTTTTTTCAACTATAAAAAAACAAAATATTTATATTAATAAGGATAATAGATTTAAAATTTGAACATATTATATTTATATGATATATATATACATTTATATGATTATATGATATTGGTATAATGCCATCCACAAACTTTTTGTAGTCAATTTTTTTATATATATAAAAAGTAACTTATAACTGTTTTGTAAATTCCTGAAGAGACAAAAAGACCAAATTAAGGTTAGTGCAGGAATTATAAGTATCATCATGTATGTACACATATATGTATGTATGTATGTATGTATGTATGTATGTATGTATGTATGTATGTATGTATGTATGTATGTATGTATGTATGCATGTATGTATGTATGTATGCATGTATGTATGTATGCATGCATGTATGTATGTATGTATGTATGTATGTATGTATGTATGTATGTATGTATGTATGTATGTATGTATGTATGTATGTATGTATGTATGTATGTATGTATGTATGTATGTATGTATGTATGTATGTTTGTATGTATGTATGTATGTATGTATGTATGTATGTATGTATGTATGTATGTATGTATGTATGTATGTATGTATGTATGTATGTATGTATGTATGTATGTATGTATGTATGTATGTATGCATGTATGCATGTATGTATGTATGCATGCATGTATGTATGTATGTATGTATGTATGTATGTATGTATGTATGTATGTATGTATGTATGTATGTATGTATGTATGTATGTATGTATGTATGTATGTATGTATGTATGTATGTATGTATGTATGTATGTTTGTATGTATGTATGTATGTATGTATGTATGTATGTATGTATGTATGTATGTATGTTTGTATGTATGTATGTATGCATGTATGCATGTATGCATGTATGCATGTATGCATGTATGCATGTATGCATGTATGCATGTATGCATGTATGTATGTATGTATGTATGTATGTATGTATGTATGTATGTATGTATGTATGTATGTATGTATGTACAGGCCTTGACATGAAGAAAATTGTCCAGCGTGATGTTTCGCGCCTGTAAAACTCAAATATTTTTTTAGCGAGCGTGATTATGCGCGCTTGTCATTAAGTTATCAAGAGTGATCTTTTATTTTTGGATATGGGTGTTCCACACAATTTTAATAATTTTTAATTTGTTATACAGCGTTCTTTAGACGATGTATAACAAATTGTATGTATGTATGTATGTATGTACAGGCCTTGACATGAAGAAAATTGTCCAGCGTAATGTTTCGCGCCTGTAAAACTCAAATATTTTTTTAGCGAGCGTGATTATGCGCGCTTGTCATTAAGTTATCAAGAGTGATCTTTTATTTTTGGATATGGGTGTTCCACACAATTTTAATAATTTTTAATTTGTTATACAGCGTTCTTTAGACGATAAATACTTTAAAATTATTATTTAGCAGCACATTGCCTGACAAAACATTTAAAATTATTTTGACTCCCTAAATACTTATTTATTATTTGATCGCATGTGATTGTGTTTTTTTTTTCACCTAGTTCTTAATGATATTGTTTTAAAGAATAAATTTATCTTTTATGTATTTTCTTTGTTATTGTCTTCACCTTTAACTTAATACTACAGTCAATTTTTTTTTTTTATTACATTGAATTTATTTAAAAGAGACTCATAAACTTTCATTTTTTCCATTGTTTCATTTGTTTAATTAAAATATACATTCATAATGTTTTTGCATCATTAAAACATTAAAACAATGATATAACGATTTCTTTTCATTAAAACATATTTAATGTTTTTTTGTTGCTAATGCTAATAGAACTTTTATAAATTTTTTAGCAAACATTTTCACAAACCTAAGCTTTTCTTTTTCTCAAATAAATTTATAATTTTAATTAAGCTATAAATAATATACATTATAATTTTAATAAAAAAAGCTTTTTAAATTTAGTTAAACTTTGGCCGAAAACATTTAAAATGCTCTAATTTACCAAATGACGCAGGTTATTATTTAGAAAACAATAAATGTTTTTTTTAAATGTTTTACTTTGACTGCCAAAATGCAATTAAAAATATGTGAATAGTGATTATTTTGCTTTTAACGATAAGCAAACTATTCCTTTCAAAACACAACGCTTTTAGAAATATTTTTTGCGAAATTAAAAAAACTTTTATTATTATACATATGGCTTTTAGCAAATGCTTATACAAAATTAAATTAACCTTTCTCATAATTAATTTGTATTTATAACACAATTTAATCTTATTAATAAACTGATATAAATAAATAAAATTTTATTTAATCGTGTTAAATATTTGCTGTAAATGTTTTATATAAAGAAGTCTCATTCACAAATCACCATTAATTGTTCATAGAAATTTGTGCTCTAATTTCAACAGAATGGCGTAAGTTAACATGAAAACATGAATTTTTTAATTGAAGTATAACTTTATAACATTTTACCTCAGTTGAAAAAACGCAATTAAGGATATTTGAATAGATCTTATTTTGTTTTTAACAATAAGCAAACTTTTTTGTTTAATTAAATAAGAATCTTTAAAAAAGTTTAATATAAAAACAATTATTAGTTTTCTCCCTCGCAAATTTTTAGGACAAGCACAATTCTTTGCTCTTGTAACTAAATTAGCGAGTGTTTTTTATCGCGCCCGCAATTTATAAATATTCCATTAACAATCGTGTTTCAAGTGATGGGAGCGATCGTTTACACTTATTGCCAAGGCCTGTATGTATGTATGTATGTATGTATGTATGTATGTATGTATGTATGTATGTATGTATGTATGTATGTATGTATGTATGTATGTATGTATGTATGTATGTATGTATGTATGTATGTATTTATGTATGCATGTATGCATGCATGTATGTACAGATCTTTGAAAAAAAAAAAACCTGAACTGGACTTTCTACAAGACCCATTTCTTTCATAGTTACTTTAAGTGCTTCTTTTAGTGTTTTATACTCAACATCCTGAAAATCTATGCCTGGAAACACATCTTTAATAAGAGCGTCAAACCGCTTTGAATCAGAGAAAGTCAACTTTGATAAAGTATTTAAGCGTAATGCTTGAACGACCAAGTTTGTCTCAGCATTTTTATCTACTATAAAGATAAAATTATATCAAAAATAAAATAGAAATATTATTGTTTATAAGAAATATTTATAATAGAAATATTTATTGTATATAATTGTAACTATTTTTATTTAAATAATTTACCAATTGTAAATTTAAATAATTTACCAATTACAAGTTTAAAAAATTTACCAATATATATATATATATATATATATATATATATATATATATATATATATATATATATATATATATATATATATATATATATATATATATATATATACAGTAGCTTTCATAAACTTAGACGCATTCATTTTTTTTTTTCATATATGTAAGAAAATACTCAAAATAAAAATAAAATAAAAGTGCTACCGCTATGTTTGATATATAATTTAAAAGAGGAAATGAAACTCTATTATAGAGTACCTTAATTTTTTTTACAGAATGTTTATTACTCATTTTATACCGATTAACACAAAAAAGTTAATTGATAAACTTGATTTTATTTTGTTCATAAATTTAGACGCACAATTAAAAAAGTCTTATATCTTGTTAATTGATAGTTAATTAGTAGTTTTTTTTCTTATATTTCTCATTAATAGGCCTAAATTAATTGATTTTGTCAAAAAACCCTATATAAATATGACTTATCTGGAATTATTTAATCATTATTTAATAAATAAACAAAAGTTAAGTTAGTTTTGCACTAAAAAAACGTAAAAAATGGGCAAAAGACGTATCACTCAAGGTGAAAGATGGCAAATTATTGCGCACATCAAAGAAGTAATAGAGAAATTACCAAGTTTATTGGAGTTTCTGAGAAATGCGTTCGGACAAAGAAACAAAACTTTCTTCACACTGGTGGTGCCAGCGAGAAAACGAGGCCAGGTAGACCCTTGTCAACCACGAGAAAGGACAATAGTGTTCTTTTTAGAGCTGTCAGAGCTAATCCAAGAATTAGTTACAAAGAATTGACCATAGAATTCAATACAACGCGAAATACATCTATTTCTCAAAGCACAGTCCGCCGAATACTTATCAAATACAAGATTGGAGTCTACACTGCTTTGAAGAAACCGCTTCTGCGTCCATATGATAAACAAAGGAGACTAAAATGGTGTCGTGAAAGAAGGTATTGGACAATAGATCAATGGGAAAACATTATGTGGAGTGATGAGAGTAACTTTGAGCTTATCAATCGCAAATCTAACATAACAGTCAAAAGAATGGCTCACGAAAAGTATTACGCCAGGTACATTAGACCAACTGTACAAAGTGGAGGAGGCTCGATAGGAATCTGGTCATGCTTCAATTACAAAGGTGTTGGTATGTGCCAAACATACACCGGAAGAATCAACTCCAGAATATACATAGAAGTACTGGAAAACAACCTAATTCCATCAATTGACCTGCTTATGCTCAATGATAAACCATGGAAACTTCAACAAGATAGCGCTACTGCACATACTGCATACTATACAAAGGAGTGGTTCAACGATAATAATATTATGACAATACCGTGGCCTCCATATTCACCTGATTTGAACCCGATTGAAAACATTTGGGCTTGGATTGATCGTGAATTAGCAAAGGTTCAAATTTCCACATTTGGTCAGCTGAAGGAATTCCTTAAGGAGACCTGGTATGGGGTCCCAGAAGCAATGTGCAAAAATCTTGTTGAGTCTATGCCTAGAAGAGTTCTTAGTTGTATTAAAGCAAAAGGCGGATACACAAAATATTGATTGGTTCATAAATTACGCCTTCTAATGTATCGTGCGTCTAAATTTATGAATAATTTTTTTTGTCTAATTTTTTTAATACCATGTAGTTGTACCTAATTATTACTTAGTATTTCATTTTTTTTGTAAACTTTTTTTAAATTTTGTATTCTGTATGTATTTATCTGATAAATAGAAAAAAAACTAAACCGAAATCTTTTTTCGTCATTGTTATATAGTTAAAATACCTAAAATTTTCTATTCTCAAATATGAGTGCATCTAAATTTATGAAAACCACTGTATATATATATAACTCAAATGTAAAATGTAGAGAAATAAGGAAAATATATATATATATATATACAAATATATATATATACATATATATATATATATATATATATATATATATATATACATATATATATATACATATATATATATACATATATATATATACATATATATATACAAATATATATATATACATATATATATATACATATATATATATACATATATATATATACATATACATATATATATATATATATATATACATATATATATATATATACATATATATATATATACATATATATATATACATATATATATATATATATATACATATATATATATATATATATATATATATATATATATATATATATATATATATATATATATATATATATATATATATATATATATATATATATATATATATATATATATATATATATATATATGTATATATATATATATGTAAAATCAACTCAAATGTAAAATGTAGAGAAATAAGGAAAAAAAAAAGTAATTTTAACTATAAATACTTTTCTTGCTATCTTCAGTTTTATTCTGCTTTTCTTTTTGAAGTAAATCTCCGCAACCTTTTAAAACAGTCTTTAAAGGACGAAGTCCCCAATCATAATGCTGCTGTTTCGAAAGAAGTTCTCTACATAAGATGAAAAAAAAAAAAAACTTATTTTATGAAAAAAAATGTTGTAATGAATTTATTTAGAGTTTTTAAAAAAAACTCACGCAGATAATGTAAATATAGCCACCAACTTTCGTCCTAAATTCTTTCCATCTTTAAAACCTTCTGAAAATAGTATAACTTCAGAAATTAGTTCATTATTAGGTTTTGACATTACAACTGGGCGAAATAATTGCTTTAAATTATCGGGCAGCTTTTGACGACCACCATATCCTTTTCCTGCTGGATTAAGTGTAATAAAAATTCCAGAATTCAAATCTAAAGTAACCTGTAAAAAATATCTTTTGAATCATGTTTTGAAAAAAAGTTACATTAATTTAATAGATGTTTATTATATGTCTTTTATGAGTGAACTAAATAAAAAACCAAATTGAGTTTATTAACTCAATTTGATTTTTTATTTAGCTTTTGCCTTTTAACAAAAGTTTAAAAAATTGTGATAAACCTTATGAAAACTGAGAAAACATTATTGGCTTACATTTCTTCCCATTAGTTCCATGCTAGCTTCTCTATTTTTTATTGAGGCTTGAATGCTTTGTATTTGAGTTGAAACTGCAGACAGTACTGCTTCTTCCAAACGATTAAACTCATCAAAACATCCCCATGCACCACATTTCACTAGCCCAATAAATATTCTTCCTATAGACTTAACATCAATACCCTAAATTTTAATAATAAAAATCATATATAAGAACTATAAGAACTAAAAACAACAAAAATTTTAATACAATTTAATACATTATTCTAAGCATTTAAAATAAACAACCCATAGATTTAACATTTACAAAAAGAAACAAAATTAAGATTTGTAGTAAAAATTAATTTCACCTCATCACAATTAAATACAAGGACTTGTCTTCCAAATAATCCACCAAGTGCTTTCACACTTTCTGTTTTTCCAGTACCAGCAGGACCATAAGGGTTCCCTCCAAGACCCATTTTCATACCCTGTGTAAGAGTAAGATAACATTTGTCAGTTAGTGGTGTGTGAACCAGCTTCTGTGCATTACCTTGGTATTCATAAGTATATGCAAAATCAGCATCTACCATACTCATGTAGCATTCACCTTCAAATATTTAAAAAAATATAACTTAATGTCACTAAAGTTTAAGAAATATATAAATAGTTGATAATATTATTGTTATTATTAATGTTGCTTTGTTTTTGTTATAACCATTATTATCATTATCATTTTAATTATTATTGTTTTATTATTTCTATCATTATTTTCATTATCATTATTTTTTTAATTTTAGGTGCCCCAAGAAGTCCTTGCAGTCTTATCACAGAGCACCATGGGAGAGCATTTGAAAGGAAGTAACACCTCCTTCCTTATTAATATTATAAAATTGCTTAGAGAAAGTATTAAATGACAGATCTCTATGGATCAAAGTGCAGTGTTTAGCGCACTAAGCACTGTGCTCCGGTTGCTCAATCTATGTTTATTATAGTTTTAAATATTATTTTATTGTTCTAGTTATTATTTTTATTATTATTATTGTTTTATTTCTATTATGATTATTACTTTTATTACTATTATTATTATTTTTATTATTATTACTATTAACATCATTAGCTTTTAGCAAAAGAAAAAATTTAGTATTACCAAACCTTGTTTATTAAGATAAAACCTCAGTTGTTTTTGCCAAGCCCAATCTTCAACACTTTTAGCATTCTCTTTTTGCAACTGTTCGACAACATCAATAAAATGAATTGCATCAAGAATAAGAGCTTTTAATTTTAATTCCAGTACATTTGAAGCAACATCAAAAGAATCATGTTTAATCTCAGTTGCAGTATAACTCTCAAGTTGTGCTTCAAGTTCAGACTTAAATTTATGTAAGCGGTTATTCCGTAAAGCTTCTTCACATTTTTCGGTAAATAAGATAGCCTCTGCAATGCAGAGAACCTGTAAATAACCAGAAGTGTTAATTGACTTATCTTTATTGGTTAAATTTTAAATATATGTGGGTGCACTCAAACAGGTGTGGACATGAACAAGTTTTATAAAAAATTAAAATCTATCCTTAAAGGAATTGAAAAGGTTTTACAATCCTAATAATGAACTTTTAAAACTAAATACATGCCATTAGACATATTACAGTTATATAAATTTTAATGTATAATAAATTTTTAATTGTTATGCAAATTTTAATTTCTACTTTTTACAATTAAAAGTATTAAAACAATATAATGAAACCTGTGAAGGATATTTTGAGGGATCAACATTACCAGCTTTGCTGTTCCTATAGCATTCAACGGCCATTAATTTAAGAGTTTCTTTCATTTGAAGAGCAAGTGCAGCAAGCCAAACCTGTAAAACCAAAATTTTTGTTTGATAATTTTACTAAAAATTGTGTAAATTTCACTAAACTATTTTAAAATGTTATAATACAATCTTTTAAAGATTGCAAAACATACTTCTACTTCTTCAGTAATAACAACTGGAGTATTAAGTTTTACAACTTCTCCATCTAAAGACCTCATTGCAATAATATGATGAGACCCATCACTAAAATCAACTTTGTGAATTCCAGCAAAAAGTTTTTTAAGATGTGTTTGAATAACGTTTGGGTTTGTAGATTGACCAAGTATTTCTAATAGATCGTCGTCACCAATGAAATAAAAACGAGGAAACAATGAACGTTTTTCCTAAATAATTTTTAAAATAATTGTGTTTTGTACATCAACCTCTTATCTCTAAAATAAAAGAATCCATACAAGAAAGTACTTGTATTGATTTTTTAATTTAAAAAAATTAAAAAAAAACCTCTAAGAACTCATTAAGAGATTTTTGGCATCGCTGTAACTGGTCCAACATTGTAATAAGCATGTTACGAATGCCTGGTCTTGATACAAGAGATACCAACCTTGCATCATTTTCCATCCCAAAGATTATTGATCTTGATAAAAATCAAATTTATAAAGAATATTTGAAAAAGTTAAAATTAAAATGTGAAAATTACTTAAAAATCACCTGAAATCATCATCCACTCTTTTGAATCTTTCTTGCTCTCTTGGTAGAGCTCCTCTGCCAAATATTGGTTCTAAATAAACCCATTTTCTCTGAATTTCATTTAAGTTGTGTAAATATTCATCTAGATCAATTAAACGTGTTTCCCATAAAGATGCTTTATCGGCAAATCCCTGATAGTACGGTGAATCTTTTAGTGATTGGAGAAGACACTGATTATCTCCCACCTGTTTTATTTGTTAAAAAAAATTGAATCAGTATATTTTAATAGTTATTTAATATTATAGCTCAAGAATAAAATAAAATTTTACCTGATTAAAAAGCTCTTTCCAGTCTTTTACAAGTTGCACATTTTTACTACTGGTATCTGTATATGAAGTAAAATTAAAAACTGCCCCAGCACCCCAAAAGTCAAGTTCTCGAAGAGCATCTCTAATTGATACTTCTCCTTGTGCACGATTATTTAACTCCTACAAAAATGTTAAAAATGTAATTGATAAATATATATAAGCAACACTTATAACATTTATTATTAATTTTCCATCTCTTTAGCAGTATCTTATACGGTTAAAACCAATAATAATAAATAATAATCTTCAAAATCTAATTTTAAATATTATATATGTATACAAATTGCAAAAAAATGACATGAACAACTTGTATTAAATTTTTTTTCAAAGCTTATCTGTTTACTCCTTAAAAAAAAAAATTGTAAAAAATTTGAGTGAATATCGAAGTATACAACTATTATAAAAGCTTTTCTTTATATTAGTACATGATTTGACCACATAGCTATTGTTTTAAAAAACAAAAGGATATGCAAGATATATTTGCAACTAAAAAATTATTGACTCCTAAATTTTTTAAATATTTTTTGTGAAGTTTTGTGAAAATAAAATTAAAAATTCTATAGAATAAATAAAAAAGTTTATATCTAAGAGTATATTATACACATATCGATTACTCAGCAAGAAGAGATCGAAAGAAAAATATAGCGTTTAAGGTCTTTCGCTTTCAAAAAATGTTGTTTTATTTAATGTGCGTTTTGATTATTATATATTTTTTTAAATTACGAAGCTCGTTTTATTTTGTTTTTAAATATTTGGTGATTTTATTATCTATGAGCTTGAAGTTTTAGCTCAATGGGGCAGAAGTTATACAAAAGCTGAAACATTTTTGTTTAGTAATTTATTCAAACGACTATAAAGAGATTATGGTAGTTAATTACTATGACTGAAAAATAATGTGAGAACTTCAATTTTAACATTTTTATTGTTTACGGAAAGATAAAATAAGAGGTTTTTAGTCATTTATTCAATATTTTAATGCTGCAAACAAGAAGTCTTTTTACTTTTGAATAAAAGAGACATTTTTAAAATGTAAACACTTAACACATTTGATTCAGCTGTTTTTATGACGCTGCCCCATTGCATTTTATGTATTTTAGTGGTTTTGTTTTGCTTGATGCTTTGGTTAAAAAAAGATTTATAAATAAATTATACAAGTAATGCCTAAATTCTACTTTTTAAAAATATATAATAGTAATATTTGAAAATAAGCTGAAAAAACAAAAAATTGAAGTTTAAAAATGTAAACTTTTGTTTTTAAGAAATGCAAATCGTTCGGATCTCTCCTTAACTACACTGAGTAATTGAATAAGCTTAATTAGTTTATAGTAACATGCGCATTGTAAAACAACATTGAACAAATTTTCAAAAAAATTTAGTGTGGGTTTAGTAAATAATAGCAAGACCTACAGAGATGTTGATAAGAAGGCTGTAATCCTTTTTAAACACTCAGCAACATTATAAAAAAACATAATCTGATTGGAACAACAACTGATATTACTGGAAGAAGTCATGAAAAAAAATATCTGCTGCCATTTATCAAAAAAAAATTCACAATTCAAGCATAACACATTTGAAGCTACTCAATAGATTACTGACAAAGTTCAAAATGACCACAAAATCAAGATTTCAACTCCGACAATAAAAAGTTATTGATTGTATATAATGATTTCATCAGTAGATTTTCAAGCAGTAGACATAACAGATTTTTAAATTATTTTATTTATTTTTGTTGAAACTTGAATTCAACAATGCTGAGTCAAAACCTTTATCATTATTTTAAGTAATTTGAATTGAAATTGTTAAAAATTATATGCAAAATTAAAAAAAAAAATAATAATAATTTTTTAAAATTTAATTTAAAAAAAAACATTTGAACTATTTTTTTTTTTTAACAGAGCTTTTACTGAACTTTTAAAGCTAGAAAGTTAAAAAATAAAAAACTATGCTGTATGTATTAAACTGAAATACTTAAGTGATAAAGCAAATTAATTTGACTTTAGTTCAATAATATTAAACCATTCAATAAACTTAAAAAAAACTTACTTTGAGCTGATCATGGTTTGCCACAATGTTTTCAGCAACACTTAAGATATTAGCAAATGTTAACTTTTCTAATGTTACTCCTTTTGGCATTTTCACCATTCGAAATAGTTCCAGCCAATGGTCAGATGATAAAGTATCACCACGAACATATTTAAGGACAGGAAAAAGATTCTAAACACAGAGATGTAGAATATATAAAAACAAAAATATATAATAACATTACTTACTATAAACAGTCTTCTTTATGCTGATTGCGTTAAATAGTAATTCTTACTTTATACATATCAACATCTTTTTGAATCTTCAACACTATGACATTGGGTTCAGTTTTCCTTAGCTTATCTTTCCAAATCCCAAGCATGTCATCAAACTGACCAGTATGACTCCTGTTGTAAATATAAACAAAAAAATATAAACAAAATAAAACAAACTTTCAATTTTAAAACCAAACTTTTAAACTTCAACAAAATATTTCTTACCTGAAAGAAATCCAGTCTTGCTCACCCATTGCATTTAAGTCAGTGTTGAACTCCTCATACAGCCTCCACATATCTTCAAACAATGATATATCAATTTCCAATTCCTCAACAAGTGGTATATCTGGGGGAGCCATTTCAAAATTCAATGAATCAGCACTGTAAAGTTAAAAAAAAACATTTTAACCAACTGATTACAAATTGAAAATACTTTGAGAACTTAAAATAAGTCTATAAAATATTTAAAAAACAAATATCAGAAAACAAAAGAAGTCAAGAAGATAATTAAAAAAAAAGAATATTTAAAAAACAAAGTAACTTAATGAAAATATTGTACATTAGTTTTTTTTTGCGTTCTTTTAAATCCTCAAACTCAGCACGCCTTTCTTTAACATTGTTGACAGCTTCAGTGCATGTCTTTTGATCTGCATCAGCATCAATATTTGTAGGTTTTAGTTGATGCCATCTTGAAGAAAAACGTTGCAGCTCTTGTTGAAAAGCCTCTATTCTACTGTTTAAATCTTTCATCATTGAATTCATCTAAAATGTGAGCAAAGTATTGCAACATTTAAAAATTTACTATTATCAAGTCTAATAGTGAATAATGATAATATTAATACTAGTAACAATAACAATATAGATAAATAGGAATAAATTTAATAACGATGATCAAACTTAGTAACACCTGTCCTTTGATCATAACAGAGTGTGAGACCAACTGCTGCTCAAGGTACTCCCACTTCTGCTTAAGCTCAGATACTTTTTCAATCCCTCCACCAGCAGTCTGCCCTAAAAGTTTATTTTTCAGCTCCAACTCTTCATTAAATTCTTTAAACTAAAAGTATACAGTTATGACATACAATCATACTACTTATCTTAACTTCAAAATTTATTTCCAATGGGTTATTGATTATTACTAGAAAATCATAATGAAATAATTTGAATAAAGTAAAAAAATTAAAAATAAATAAACAAAACATATATCATAAGATTTTTAAGATGTTGCATGATATTTTTTGTTTATCTCTTACTTTTGATTTCCCTTCCATAACCATGTTGTATCTTAAGTTAGCTTCCCCCATTTCATCAACTGAATGTGGAATTATACTCAGAGATTGTATACTATTTGAAACAAAGTGATCAGACTCATTGTATCCATTGACAATAGAACGACGCAGAGATAATAACAAAGTATCAAACAGTTTTGAAATTAGATCATCAATAGTTGATTTTATAGGAACGGTTGAAACAGTTATGCAATCAACTTTAACAACTCTACAATGTAAAACATATTTATAAATACTTTTATTAAATTCACGCATAAAAAAATAATTAGTTCAACTATGGATACAAAATAATAGTAACAATAAACATAATACAATATGATAAATATAAAATATATATAAATATACTAAAAATATTAATCAAGTAAAAAAAAACAAAAAACAAACTGAGGAAGTTTCTCAGATTCTTTTCCCTTCAACTTGATCAACTTAATATTCATCTCCCAGTCTGAAGCTGTTAGCAAGTGCTTATCTGCTAATGCATCCATATCTGTGCTACCAAACACAACCCACTCAACAAACTGTTGTTGAACGTTTTGAAGACGGTTAAAAAGAGTTTCTGCTTTTGAATAAACTGTTTCAAATAAAGAACTATTGTTTTCTATAACACTTTGAAACATCAAATAATTATCAGCTAAACCTTTAAAGTTTTTAGGTATGGAAATAAACTTTCTAATCTCACGATAATATTTCATTCGTATTTCTTCAATTGGAGGTTTGAACTGTAACTGTTGCTGTCTATAAAATGTAATTAAAATACTAATTAATTTCTTTTAATCAAGAATTTCTATTTATTAAAATAAGTTTCTATAGACAATTTCTACATACAAATATGACTAAAACACAATAAGAGTATATTTTCTACATAAATATGACAACATTATAAAGATTTATTTTAAATTACTGGCTAGAAATTTAATCAAATACTATTGAAACAATAGATATATGGAATGCTTTTAACTGAAGCCTAAAAATCATCCCCATAAACCTCTAGAAAAAAACAACTTTTATTAAATCAAAAGACAAACCTAAAAACAAGTTCAACTTTTATTTCTGGGAGATTTTCATGCAATGCTTCTAATCCAAGTTGGTACTGATGCTCAAGTGCTTTGTATAATTGATGGTCAAGAAACAATGTCCATGGTTTCATATTGCTAACTTTAAAACCCTTTTTTATTTAAAAAAAATATATTTATATGTATATATATACATACATATATATATATATATATATATATATATATATATATATATATATATATATATATATATATATATATATATATATATATATAATTAAATAGAAAAATATAGCTTTATAATGGAACTAAAAGTTTAATGCCTATCGGCAATCTTCATCCATATATATATATATAATATATATATATATATATATATATATATATATATATATATATATATATATATATATATATATATATATATACATATATACAAAAACATGTATAAAATAGAATTCAAAATTAAAATATTAAAAATTTTGACAAAAATTATAAATTCCTCCTGCCTGCTCAGTGAGATTTGCTATAAGCTGCCTCATTTCCATAATAGTATCTTTCCATTTTAAAGGGTTGCGCAAAAGGTCAGTGTTTATAAGTTGTGAAACCTTAAATAAAAAATCTCTATTATCATATTTGTTTATATTTGAGAAAGAAATTAAAAACAGATAGTCTAACTTTAAAAAAATATTAATTTAACAATTTTATTATAATAAATAAATATATACATAGTTTACTAAATTATTTGGTATTTAAAATTTGTGTACAGATAAAGAGCTGAATACCTTGTCAATCATAACATTGTGTATTTTTCTTAATTTTCTATTATCTGTTGTTAATTTTTCTGCCACAGCTTGAAGTTTTTTAATATAGTCTTCAACTTCTTGAGGATTATCCCAAGTTACATGCATTTTACCATCTTTTTCCTTTGAACCTGTTTTTGGATTCTTTATCAATTGCTCAAAAGCATATGCTGTATCAAGCATCATAGATTGTTGACAAGCAACCATTTGTTGATCAATCGTGTTATAAAAGTGAGCAACCTATAAATAAATGCTGTATTTATGAAAAAAAAATTTTATTTATAACTTAACTGAAAAGTTTTAATAATAACAAAATATTGCTAACTGTGCTAGTGTATCAGTGGTAGAGCACTCCCGATGTAACCAAAAAAGTTTGAAACCCTACCACACCCTTGATAGCACCATGTTTAAATAGTTTCTCCATGCAAAAATTTTGTTTGTTTTGTAGTCTTATAGTTGAGATATAACACTTCAAATTTAATAAAAAAAAAAATTCGAAAAAAAAAAGAAAATAAAAAGCCTCCCCAACTAAAGACTAGCAAAGATATAATAAAACTAAAAAAAAATTTAAATGCACCAGGGAGGGGGGGGGTCAGTGATTGGTTTTGTGACGACTTGTACATGACTTGTTATTAAAGAGTTACAATGTTGTGACAAGTGTGTGTGTGGGGTGGGGAGGGAAAAGGTGCTCATAAATGGTCAAAATTTGCATGACGTTATTTATGGGCCACCCCTTATTAACAATTACAATTAACAAAAGTTATTTGTCAGTACTTTAAAAAAAAGTACCTGCTTTAAAACAATTGCTTGTCTGTAAAATTTGGAGGCAGTTAAAGCAACATTTTGAATTTTTGAAGAAACATTATAACCCATCCCTTGAAGTTGGCGAACTTCACGAATCAGTGTTACAAGACGAGCATCATAATGAACTTCGAGCTTGCCATCAGCATGACCCAATTCCATAAGTTTTCCATTTGTCTTTAAACTAAATTTTTTACATGCATTATATATATATATATATATATATATATATATATATATATATATATATATATATATATATATATATATATATATATACACATATATATATATCCATTTGTCTTTAAACTAAATTTTTTACATGCATAATATATATATATATATATATATATATATATATATATATATATATATATATAACCCTCGGAATTAGGAAAAACGAGGTTGGCAATATATATATATATATATATATATATATATATATATATATATATATATATATATATATATATATATATATATATATATATAATATATATATATATATATATATATATATAAATTTATATATATATATATAAAATATATATATAAATTTTTCAGTCCAACAGAAATAGTTATGCAGGCAGTAGGATGTGGATTAAGAGACTAATGATGATGATGATGATGATGATGATGATGATGATGATGATGATGATGATGATGATGATGATGATGATGATGATGATGATGATAATTATGATATAAAAATATCTGACATTTTTAACTTCTGCACAAACCTTAAAGAATTTTCTGTATTTTCAATATTATCAATTGTTTCCCTTGACCAGTTGTCATAGTTTTCTTTCATGTATTGTCCAACCTCAACAATAAATGGTTGGCATATTGCCTTAAAACGCTCAAATGAGCTAATATCACTGAGTAAATATTCAGATGACTTTAAAAGTTCTTCAACCTAAATTATATTCTTTCTATTTTACAATCTCATTTTACTAATAAATCTTTATACTACAAAAAATCTATATATAACTAAAGTGATTAAATGCTCACAAGAAAACTCAAGAAAGATTTTATATAAATTTATATACACTATACAAAAAAATTTTATATTTATACGTACACATATTTTACAAAAATGAAATTCACATTTAAAAGAGTAAACCTTAGCTTTAAGTTGCTTTCCCCAAATAATAGAATTTATGATTTCAGGCATATTATTGCCTTTAGGAGGTCCTTCTCCATTTTTAAAACTAGATCGAGCTTGGAAATCACTCTTTAAACTTTTTATATGTTCATGGAGTTGTCCTAACAGTGCTTCCCTAAATAAAAATAGTATTAAAGTTGCTGCCAAAAAAATCAAATAAACCTTAAAATAATGAAAAACTTTTAAAATAATTAAAAACTTTTAGAACAATTAAAAACTTTTAAAATAATTAAAAACTTTTAAAATAATTAAAAACTTTTTAAAAATTAAAAACTTTTTATCTAAATCAAAAAAACTTTAAAATAATTACAACCTTTCAGCTGTTAGTAACTTTTTGATGTTTGGACGATTAACAAGCTCCTTGTATCTTTGAAACTCCCTCAAAAGCTGTTAAAATTGACATAATAACATAATAATTCTATATATATATATATATATATATATATATATATATATATATATATATATATATATATATATATATATATATATATATATATATATATATATATATATATATATATATATACATATATATACATATATATATACATATATATATATATATATATATATATATATATATATATATATATATATATATATATATACATATATATATATATATATATATATATATATATATATATATATATATATATATATATATGTATATATATATGTATATATATATATATATATATATATATACATATATATGTATATATATATATATATATATATACATATGTATCAATATTCTCCTTTTCCCAGCACATTCACAGCACATCCTCACTCCTACAGACACAAATACTTTTAGGAGCAGTTAAAAAAATGCTCGCCAAAAAAAAATACAAAGGTTTTTTGAACTGCAACAAATCAAAAAAAGTTGTGATAACACTTTAATGTACAAATTATTTTATTTGGAGATTAAATAAAAGGTTTGTCTTGTTTTTATTTAAATTATTTTATATAAAATTAAAAAAAAAAACATTTCTTTTTGCCATTTTTATTTGTTTGTTGTTATTTCATTTGCTGTTTTTTTAGAATTTAAATAAAATGTTTGTTTTACTATTTTATCTTAACTATTGCTTTTAAAATTTATTTAAAGCAATTTTTTTGCCCTACTTTTTAAATTTAAATAGCAAAATATTTATATATATATATATATATATATATATATATATATATATATATATATATATATATATATATATATATATATATATATATATATATATTAAGGTGATTCAAAAAAAATTATAATATGATTTATTTTTTGAACTGTATTTACCATTACAAAAAGATGTAAAGCATGTTGCACTTAGTAGCAGTAACACATCTAATATTGTAACAGGATTCTCTCAGTAATAATCGTAAAAGAGAGATTAAACAGATAATAATTGTGTGTTTAGATAAACACTGTGGCCTCACATTTCAGAGTGACATTACAGTGTTTATCTAAACATGAATTACAGTGTTTTCTTACAGTGTTTTTGTACAGTTTATATCTAAACATGAAAATTATAGTTGTACTGCCTAAACAAAAACCCTCAGTCGATGAAGCAGCAATCCTCACATGTTAAATAGTATATTTGTCAGTCAATACATGCAAACTTTAAAGAAATAAAAAATAAAAACATTCAGAATATTTTTATTTTTATTTAATAAATATATAGTTTTGATTTTTTGAAGTGATAATGTTTAATTAGTTTCCTCAATTAAATTTAATGGTTTTACATAAAGTATACTTAAATTTTGTCATTTTTAAATACAAAGAGTTGTTAAGAGCTAATTTTTACCATAAACAGCAAACTTAAAGCCTTTACTATAGAAATATATATATATATGTATATATATAAATTTTTAGATAAGCACTGTAGCATCACACTGAAACAGCCCGCTTCCAGGGAATTCAGTATGTACATCAACTATCTTATAGCCTGCTGCCACAAAGGAGTGCTACTAAAACAACTGAGGGTTTAGGATGGAGCAGCAATCTTTTATTTTGTGAATGTCAAATGCTTTAGTAGTAAAAAAATACCACAGTTAAATCACATAGTTAAGGTAAAACAAGTGAATTAGAGGTATTAAGATATCAGAAGATTAGAGGTTAATATAGTTTTAGTATGTGCACTTCAAACAGGTAGGACAAGAGAAGAAAAGCAAGAATTCAATATTTAAATATATTTTTTAATGTCGGGGATTGTATGTAGAGACACGAAGGAGCAAGTTGATGCAACCACAGATGATTTTGAGGAAGTAAATGGAAACAAAGATAAAGCACGCAACCATTCTGAAAGGAAATTCTAGCAAGAACAGAAATCAAAACAAATAGACTTGTTGAAATTATATGGAAATAAAGAAATGCTTTCTAGAAGTATGTAGACATGTTGAAATTATATGGAAATGCATAAAGAAATGCTTTCTAGAAGTACGTAGAAGGATGTAGAAAGGGTCATCAAAGATAATTGAAGTCACAGTAGTTGGAAGCAGAAATGGTTAAAATTGTAAAAGAAAAAAGGAAATTTCAAAAATATGGAAGAAGACAAGAATGATAGGCTCTTTGTATAGTTTGGCTAAGCACAAATCTCAATTGTATGGTATGAGCAATCATATAAGTTAATCATATAAGATTTAAAGGACAAAAATTTAAATCATATAAGATTTAAAGGACAAAAAAGAATTGTAAAGCAATTGATTATAAAAAAGTTTGCTATTCAAAGGGTTCATTTAAAGAGATTTTAGTGGGTGTCAGATCTGACACTAACTAAAATCTCTTTAAATGTTGACTTATAGAAAAAGATATTCTTTATAGATTATACAGGTGATTTATGCTAAATTGCAGAAAAATTAATAATTAAGTTTGAGTGTGTTAAAAACGGATTGGAAGCTAAAGTTATGCATTTGTTAAGTCAAGAATGAGATAATAAAAAATACTAGTGAAGTGTGTATAAAATTTATAGTCAGGTCAGGTGTATAGTCTTTATGATCACCCTGCTACAGGTAACATGTAACCCAGTGAAACCTGGAAGGAGTTTGCTTCCTGTCATCAGTATTCATCATATCGTTATACCTATAGTAATATATATATATATATTACTATAGGTCAGGTCAGGTTTTCCTGCTACTGGTAACATGTAACCCAGTACAACCTGCTCCATGTCCTGCTGCCTTGTAGGATACGCTTTTTTAGGCAAAGGCTAGGAGAAGTTAACTCCGAATTAAAACACCCCCTGCCTTGGGGCTCTTGGTTGAGTAAAGGCTAGAGATGGTGTCTCGATAAAAATACTCATCTTGGGCAGATGTTACATGCATCCAGCTGCTGTCTTGTAGAAGGCCTCCTAGGCAAAGACTTAAGGGGTAAACAGATTCTATCTGTTGACCAGCTTCGCACCCCTTCCTCATCTATTAGGCTGGCGCAGATGTATTCTTAATACATTGTTTCCAGTTTAGGATGTTGAACGCTGGATCTTCTTGACTCAATGCGTGGGTATTGCTTGTGTCTCTATTTTTATGACTGGGCAACTCATTCTATTATCTCCTAATGAGGGTACAGCTCTAAAACTCAGTTTTATGGTTCTGAGGCCGGCTGGTAGTCAGGTTTCCCGAACTCTGTGGTAGCTCTCAGAGAGGCTGATTCCATCAACAGCCGAAAAATATCAGAGTACTAACAGTGCCATGTTGCGCATGGATGGTGTCCCTGTTTGTACTTTTGGTGTGCATTGCAGAGGCCACATTTGGAGCCCTTTGTTACGGCTTAGGGTTTATTAAGAGTAATGAGGCTATTGCTTAGTTGTTAAATAGTGTACTGAGTACTATCTATACTTGAGTCAAGTTCTTTATAAATTTAAAATGACTAAAGTACCTAAAACTAAAAAACACAAAAAACCATTGTCATCACCAAGTTCTCTAAACCTATCATTTACTAATATTCGTGGTCTTCGAAGTAACTTTTCTTCTGTTGAGTCTTATCTCTTGCAAAGTTCACCAGACCTACTTGCTCTTTGTGAGACTAATTTAAGTTTGGCTGTCCCATCTTGTGATCTTAGTGTTGATGGTTATCTTCCTTTAATTCGTAAAGACTCCAATAATCACATGCTTGGCCTGGGCATCTACATTGGCCTGGGCATCTACATTGGCCTGGGCATCTACGTAAGAACTCACCCATTTTTCGTGAAACTAGGTTTGAATCTACAGACTATTCATTTATGTGCTTTCGTTTAGCACAACTTCACTCTATCGCCTTTCTCTTTGTTCTATATCGCTCTCCTTCATCCCAAGATTGCACTATTCTTGATGTTATTTCTGATCAAATTGACCAAGCCCTCTCTCTTTATCCATCGACCAATATCGTCGTTGTTGGTGACTTTAATGCCCATCACACCGATTGGCTTGGCTCTAGTGTCAGTGACTCTGCTGGCGATAAGGCCCTCAACTTTTGCCTTTCTCAATCTCTAACTCAAATAGTCAACTTTCCAACTCGTTTTCCAGACAACCCTAATCATTTACCTTCTCTACTCGACTTATGTCATCTACTCGACTTATCTCATCTGTTCACTATCGCCAGAAACCATTGTAAAAAGGTTTTGTCTGACGCCAAAACTCGCTATTCCCAGGTCATTAAATCTCGTATCTCATCACAAAAATTAGGCTCTCGAGACTTCTGGAGAATCTTTAACAGTATCAATAATAAGGGCAAATCTGTTATTCCTTCTCTCTTGTATGGTTCAGACTTTGTCACCTCACCTAAAGACAAAGCTGAATTGTTTGCTAAGAACTTTTCATCAATATCATCTCTTGATTCCACTAGTTGCGTTTTACCTGACATAGCCGTCAAACAGGTTGATCCCTTGCTTGACATTCGCATCACTTCAGCTTCTGTATCTAAAGTAATTTCCTGCTTAGACTCTTCAACAGCTTGTGGTCCTGACAACATTCCTGTTGTAGTTTTGCAGAGGTGTTCTCCAGAGCTTTCATCCATACTTTCTAAACTATTTAACAAGTGCTTATCAGAGTCTTGTTTTCCATCATGCTGGAAAGCAGCATCTGTTATCCCTATTTTCAAAAATTCCGGAGAGCGATCTGATTCATCTAATTACCGTCCCATTAGTCTTCTTCCTGTCATAAGCAAGGTTTTTGAATCTTTAATTAACAAACACTTAATCTCTCATCTTGAATCAAATAACTTACTTTCTGACCATCAATATGGATTTCGGTCTTCTCGTTCTACAGCTGATGTGCTAACAGTAATAACCGATAGGTTTTACCGTGCATTAGATAGAGGTGGAGAGGTTAAGGCTATCGCACTTGACATTTCTAAAGCTTTTGATAAAGTTTGGCATGCTGGTCTTCTCCATAAGCTTTCTTCTTATGGTGTAGCTGGTAACGTCTTTAAGATTATTGAGTCCTTTCTTTCCAATCGTAGTATAAAAGTTGTCCTCGATGGACAACACTCTTCTTCACATCCTGTAACTTCAGGGGTTCCTCAAGGTTCAATCCTTGGCCCTATACTCTTTTTAATTTACATTAACGATCTTCCAGATATTCTCACACCTAAGGTGGCATTATTCGCTGACGACACTACCATTTACTCTTGTCATGATAAGAAGCCTACACTCTCTGATTGCTTGGAGGGGGTATCTGAGCTTGAAAAGGATCTCACTTCTGCTACAGCATGGGGCTCACAGTGGCTGGTGAACTTTAATTCAGATAAAACTCAATTTTATTCGGCCAATCGTTATCGTAATAATTTAGATCTTCCTATATTTATGAATGGTAATGTACTAGATGAGTCATCTACCATTCATCTTCTAGGATTAACTCTTACTTCTGATCTTTCTTTTAAACCGTATATCAAATCCATTGCAAAATTAGCATCTGCTAAGGTTGCATCTCTTTATCGAGCTCGACACTTTCTTACTCCAGATTCTATTCTCTATCTCTATAAATCTCAAATCCGTCCCTGTATGGAATACTGTTGCCACATCTGGGGCGGATCTTCTAATGATGCTCTTTCTCTTTTAGACAAGGTGCAAAAACGAATTGTAAACATAGTTGGACCTGCTCTGGCAGTCAATCTCCAACCTTTGTCACATCGTCGTAATGTTGCTTCTCTTTCTCTTTTCTACAAATACTATAATGGGCACTGCTCTAAAGAGCTAGCGTCCTTTGTGCCATCTACTAAAATTCATTCTCGTGTTACTCGCCATTCAATTAAGTCTCATCCTTTTTCTGTGACTGTTCCTAAGTGCTTCAAAAACTCTTATTCTTCTAGTTTTTTTCCTCGAACATCAGTTCTTTGGAATTCGCTTCCTTCATCTTGCTTTCCTGATTCATATAATTTGCAATCTTTTAAGTCATCAGTCAATCGTTATCTTGCTCTACAGATTTAGTCTTTTCTCTTCCAGTAACTTCCAACTCTTATAGTGGTTGCTTGCAGCCTTGTTGGAAGTGAAGATGTTAAAAAAAAAAAAAAAAAAAAAAAAAATATATATATATATATATATATATATATATATATATATATATATATATATATATATATGCATATGTATATTTGTGTGTGTGCATTTTTTTTTAATTAATTTTTTTGTGTCTTTTAGATAGCTAAAGGAGCCTTAGTTACTGTTTTAGCTCACCTGAAAGCTACTTTATATGTATGTTTGTGTTCTGTCTAAATCTCTGGCACAGTGTTGACTCACCAAAAGTTGCTATCTGTATGTTTGTGTTCTGTCTGAACCTCTGGTGTGGTGTTACCTTACATGTAAGTTACTTTATGTGTGTTTGTGTTCTGTTTATACCTCCAGCATGGTGCTCATTCACCCATAAGTTGCTATATGTATATTTGTGTTCTACCTCTTTATGTTTATTTGTATGTTTGTGTTCTGTCATAACTTCTGGCACAGTGGTTACTCACTATAACTTACTTTATATATGTATGTTTGTGTTCTATCTGAACCTCTGTAAGTTACTTTATGCTTGTTAGTTTTAAATGTTCTGTTTAAATGTTTAAATCTGTTTTGATGCAATGTGAGATCATTAACTAACTAGTTACTTCAACTATAAACCTTGCTCTGAGTGAGACTAATTTAAATTCTGCAATTCCTTTTTTAAATCTCAGTGTTGATTGTTACTATCTTTTAGTTCAAAAAGACTCCAATAGTCACATGCTTGGCTTGGGGGTATGCATACACATCAATTCACCCATTTGTCGTGAAATCAGATTTGAATCTTTTGACTATTCTTTTATGTGCTTCTGCTTAGCACCTCTTTACTCTATAAACTTTCACTTTGTTCTTTATCGTTTTTCTTTTTCCCAAGACTGTACAATTTTCGATAAATATTTGTCAAATTGACTATGCTCTCTCTCTTTACCAATATTGTTGTTATTTGTGACTTTAATGCTCATCACATTGAATGGCTTGGCTCTAACACCACTGACCCCGTTGGCTTTAAAGACTACTTCTGCATTTCTTATTTTTCTTACTCATATATTTAAAATTGTGACTTGTTTTTCTGACAACCCTAATTATTTACTTTGTGATTTATGCCTTTTCTCTTATTCTAGCTTGTGTTCAGCTTCTCGTTTTTCACCTTTAGGTGGTTTTGACCATACAGTGACCTCTTTAAATATTTCATCTTGTACTTATTACTACCTTAAAGCTGAATATGATTCTTTTCATGATTATCTTCGTGATGGTCCTTCTGTTGATATCTTTTCTCTCTCAGCTGATAAATATTCCTCCTACATAACCTCCTGGATTCAGGTAGGAATGAAAGCTTTTGTTTCTTTTTGTCGGTTCCAAGTCAAGGCTCATTTTACTATATGGTTTTCTACTTCTTGTGCAGCTGCTATATCTAATAACAAGCCTTGTTTTAAGGCGTAAACTGGCGCACCTTACTTACAGGCCATTTAACATAAGCGATAAGTCATTTTTTATCATTTTTTAATATTTAAACAATTCTAATCAGAAATTATTTAAGCGGTAAGATAAAAGAAATAATTAACATTATAAAAACCACTTATAAAGTTTGAATGACAATTTCGTAAAAAAAGTGCAAACTTTTTAAATGACAATTACATTCGCACAAATGTATTAAAAAAAATTTTTTATCAATCTAACTTTTCCATCAAAAATGTTTAGTAAAAGGAAAAAAAAAAGATGTTATAGACGCGTAAAAAAAGAAATCACAAAAAAAATATAATAAAAATTTTTTATTTATTAACTTGCAAGTGCAAGAATATTTATTTAGACACTTTCTCATAACAAGCAATAACAAAAATAATTACCGAATTTAGAACTTATAATTATCGAATTTAGAATTTAGAATTACCGAAGATAAAATCTTATTATTAAAATTTTTTTTATAATTAAAAAACTTATTTTATGGATATAACTCTATTATTAATTTTTTTGCTTAAATTCACGTTTGAAGCAATATAACTCTTCCAATGTCTTCATTTATAAGTTTTATTTTGTAAAAAATAATATTTTAGAAAAATAATACTTTATAATAGTTACATCAGCTTAATATAATTAACAAATTGTGTAATATCAAAAAGGTGATAACAGAAATTTCCTTATAATTTAGAATTTTGAATAAATTATTTAAATTTAAAAATAAGTTGTTTTTTTTCTCGGTTTTTCTTCCTTTTTTATTTTTTTATAAATAATTAAATTCCTTTTAAACATGTTATAACCTGTAACACTGAATCAAAAATACTCATTTTTGTCTTAAGGCAAGTGAATGCGCAGTGGTATAAATTTTTTTTAATAAATGGTACTTGGAAACTTAAATCTTTGTCACAAAAAAAAAAGTGCTGGTAAAGTAAATAATTTGAGTTTTTTTCTATGCAACAAGTAATATTTTTGTTTGTTAATAACTTTTTAAAAGTAAAAAATCATTATTTGCGAAGCTGCAATTTTAAGAAATAATAATGAAAAAAAATTAGTATATTTTAATTCATTTATATTCATATTTTATGACAAGGAAAAATTAATTTATGTTAAATGATAACAAAAAAATATAATACTAAGTTTAATTATTCAAAATTTAAACAAAAAAAAAAAAAAAAAAAAATTAACATTTCACAATATGTACATTTACAAAATAACATTTCTAGTTTTTCTTAATTAGTAAACTTGTTTTGATGTAATTTATTAAAAAAAAAATTAATGCCCTTAAAGAAATTAAAAAAAAAAGATAATTTTATGACATGTACTTTGACTTGATACTTGTGCTTCAATAGCAGGAAAATTATAGAACATATAACACATGTGCTGTATAGTTTCTAACTTATATCAAGATACACCATATGCTACTAAAATTTGAAATTTTTAAGTATGTCCACATAAAAAATTGAAACTCTTTAGGTTCTATCCACATCAGCATACTTTTTCCACTAAAAAACGATGATTGTCTTAATAACTGTACTTTTGTCACAACATAATTGCGAAGTAAAACTTTTCATTTCGATTTTAACAAATTCTACATGGATTCAGAGATTTTAAATTGTTTTGTTTTGCTTATGCAACAGTCTTGGTTTTATATAATAGTTTATCAATTTCAAAAATTATATATATATATATATATATATATATATATATATATATATATATATATATATATATATATATATATATATATATATATATATAAATATATATATATATATATATATATATATATATATATATATATATATATATATATATATATATATATATATATATATATATATGTATATATATATATATATATATATATATATATATAATATATATATATATATATATATATATATATAATGAAATTGATAAACTATTATATGAAACGAAGACTCATATTAAAAACCAACTTCTCTTACAAACTTAAATAAAATTAAAAAAAAAAAATGTTCTTAAAAAATCTTTTCTTTTTACTTATTTCTAAAACTTAAATCAACTTACACTAGCTAAAATAGTTATAGTATATTAACAGAGTCCTTGCAGTAGGTCAGGTTATTAACAGAGTCTTTGTAGTAGGTCAGTTTATTAACAGAGTCTTTGCAATAGGTCAGGTTATTAATACAAAAACAGTTGGTTTAAGCTTTTCTAGATCTGATAAAATAATAAAAAAAATAAAAACATTTTTCATATGCTTTATTCTTCTTATTAATAAAAAATAAATTTTTTTTTTACACTATTAGTTATAAATATTAACTCTAAAAACTATTAAAATACCTGAAATGACTTTGCTTTGGTATTTGAAAATTTTTCTTTTAGCTTTATTGCAACTCGCTCTTCAATTGGTTCAATACTTTTTCCATATTGAACCACAGCAGTTTTCCAGAGAGGTACTGTGAATGGATTATACTGCACTGGATTTAAACCAATAAATGGTTTAAAAGCTTGTTCACTATTTAAAAATTGTCGCTCACTGTTTGATAAGAGTTTGTTATGTTGCTCATGAATAATGCGAATGCGAAGAATCTAAACCAATTTTATAAACAAACAAAATAAAATTTTTTATCTTTTTTAAGCTTAACATTAAATTGTTTTTCTTCTTAATGTATGAATGGATAAATAAAATAAATGAATTTAAATACTTCTTGTAATCGTTCACAAAGCTTCATCAAATTTAAAGGAACATATTTGTCCCCCTTCCATGGATGAGCAGGTAAAGTTTTCCAAAATTTATCTGTTAATGTCTCACAAACTTCTGACCATTTTTCACATATTTGAACACCATGCTGTAAAACTTCTTTTATGACATTAGATTTTTCATTCCATATGTCCATATTAGATAACTTTTTTTGAATATAAAGACCAATACTGCTACCAATAATATCAAAAAAATGATGCATACGAACTTGAGGATATTCTGGAAAATCATCTTGCTTCCAAAGCTCGTCTAAGATATCCATAGATACATCTACTATTTCCAAAACCTCTGCAATTTCATAAACATCCAAGTTCGAAAAGTCATTCATAAAATTTGCTGAAATAATAATAAATGAAAAAAATGTACTTATTTCAAAATATAAAAGTTTTCATATTTTGAAATAAATAAAAACAAACAAAATGATAAATAACTCATGCATAAAAAAGATAGATTTGAATATAGTAAATAGAAATTTTTATCGTTTTCATTTTTGAAATTTTAAAGATTAAATAAATTTATATCATTTAATATTATGGCAAACATTAAGATGACCAATGATTTTATATAGCTATCTGCATGACATTGCAGTAAATGCTAGCAACGTGTTCTTTTTCAAAAAGCCACAATAGTAAGGTAACCACGATGAATAAAAAAAACAGCAGATCTTACTTAAAATGAATCTGGAAATAAATAAAGCTGTAATAGAACACAAGCTATTTAAGAGGGACTTTTCAGTTAGACCTACGAGTAGAGTTGCAAAAAAAAAAAATTTTAATGAAACTTTTTATTTTTGCAACTCTTCATTGCAAAAACACATCATTACTTTGATGTCTGCAGAACTTCCATTAATTTACCAAAAAATAAAAAAACATGTCAACACTTAACTGATGCACTTTTACAAAAAGCTCAGAGACTACCGAGCAAACTTGTGGAGAGCACTTATCAACCATTTGTCATATTTGTGTATTATGAATTATGGCCAATCTAAAAAAATTGCTTTTGGTTTTTATGTTTTATTATTTATAAGAAAACATAAATATTGTATAAATTTGTTTCTTTGTTTAATTAAAAAACCATATTACTTTATTTATTTTAATACTTTATTAAATAACACTACAAATGAATTTCTAACTAACTAATAATTTTGAACTGCTAATGCCTTATAGTTACTCTCTGGCTACAGCAGCTAATAGTAGTGATTATAGTTGATTTTTTAACTAACTCTAATAACTATGAACTGTTGAACCCTTATAGTTACTTTCTGGCTGCAGCAGCATTATAATGATGATGATGATGATGATGATGATGATGATGATGATGATGATGATGATGATGATGATGATGATGATGATGAAGATGATGATGATGAAGATGATGATGATGATGATGATGATGATGATGATGATGATGATGATGATGATGATGATGATGATGATGATGATGATGATGATGATGATGATGATGATTTAACTGGAGTTTATTATCAAATTTTAATATGTGATCTTATGAATTACCCTCCCATTTTGTTCCTATATATGAAATAATTATTCAGGCCAAATATCAACACAATTCAACAATAATTACAGGTAGCTCAATGACAGTGAAGTTTCTGGTACTCCAAAGCATTTATTTTGCTGATATTAGATACTAGATTCATTCTCATGATAAATTTGGAACACATAACAATCAAGTAAATTGATATTTTATTTAATCATTATATATACAACATTCAATCATTGAGGTTCATATGGCCAATCATCTAGATTCCATTCAACACAATTTTGCTGACAATGCAAAATTTCCATGAATTTGTATTTGTATTCAAAAATGTTTAGACATGTTCACTGCTTAGACTGATTAGTGATTATGCTGATTAGGCATTAAGCAACATTGTTGAAGTGATACACTTGTTTAATTGCTTGAGAGATTGTTTTGATTGGATCCTTTTTTGATTTTTATCCATTAGTAAGTTAAATGATTTTTATTTAAAATGTTTTGAGACTAAATAGTAAATAAATAAACATATAGGCAGACATTAAATAAATTGAATTTTTGTGATTATTGTGATAATTCTTCAAAATAACTTTTATTAAAATTCATGATTACAAAAGGCCATTATATATTTCTTTCAGATTCAACTTTGACATCTTCTGAAGAAGAACAAAGCAGGAACATCACTAACTCAACATACATGAAAACTGGCTTTTGTCTCCAGGTTTAAAAATCTTTTTAATGTTGCTTATGTCGAAGCTCTGATTATGATGTCAGTATTACAAGATGACAAAGATTTCTGGCTTACCCAGCAAGAAAAAGAAAGGCAATAGCAAGCAAATTAAATAGTTAGTAGCTTTTATATTTAAACTTAATTCATCTAGTTTTGAAAACAGTTTAGCTGAAGATAGTGAAAATATGGAAAATGAGGACAATGCAAGTAAGAGGGCAGATAGAGGCATCACATTACAGACACTAAAAAGAAAGAGGGAGAAAAACTGCAGTTACACAAAAATTTGCAGCAGCTCTAGATCAAACAAAAGTGTCAGATCGCAAAGGTGTTTTTTTTTGTAGCAGGAACTGCCAAAGGCTTGGGACAGAACATTGACAAACTTTCTATAAATAGGGACTCAACTCGCTAACGCAGAGTGGAACACGGAGTTTAGAGATCTGCTGACATAAAGGCCAAGTTTTTTGGCAATATCCCACTTGTTGTTTACTGTGATGGATAGCTGTTTCCTGATCCAATACCAGTTTCAGGGAAGAAAGTTTCTCAGCTACTCATAGCTGCCAAGCTTCCTTCCAAAACAGGCAAGGTTCAGGTTACTGATGTGTTTCAAGATATTAAAGTTTTAGAGCTATGTATTTTGACATGACCAGCTCAAACACTGTGATGCGATAATAACTGACCATTATAAAACTTTATTGTTATGTTTATAAACTTCTTGTCTTAATATTATTAAAATTAATTGATGTAATTTATTAGTCAAGTCATAAGCTATTTTTGTATATAATTATCGAGTCAAAATAAAAGTTAACAAAGTTGTCATATTAACAAGGTTTTGTCAGGTCAGGTTTATCCTGCTACTGGTAACATGAAACCCAGTACAATCTGCTTCATGTCCTGCTGCCTTGTAGGATACACCTTTTTAGGCAAAGGCTAGAAGATGCCAACTCCAACATAAAACACCCCCTGCCTTGGGGCTCTTGGTTGAGTAAAGACTAGAGATAGTGTCTCGATAAAAATACTCATCTTGGGCAAATGTTAAATGCATCCGACTGCTGTCTTGTAGAAGGCCTCCTAGGCAAAGACTTAAGGGGTAAACAGATTCTATCTGTTGACCAGCCTCGACCCCATCTTCATCTATTAAGCTGGCACAGACGTATTTTTAATACATTGTTTCCAGTTTAGGATGTTGAATGCTGGATCTTCTTGACTCGATGCATGGGTTTTGCTTGTGCCTCTGTTTTTATGACTATGCAACTCATTTTATTATCTCCTAATGAGGGTACAGCTCTAAAACTCAGTTTTATGGTTCTGAAGCCGGCTGGTAGTCAGGTTTCCCAAACTCTGTGGTAGCTCTCAGAGAAGCTGATTCCATCAACAGCTGTAAAATATTAAAGTACTAACAGTGCCATGTTGCGCATGGATGGTGTCTCTATTAGTACTTTTGGTGTGCATTGCCAAGGCCAAACCGGAGCCTTTTGTTAAGGATTAGGGTTTATTAATAGTAATGAGGCGATTGCTTGGGCTATTAAACAGTGTACTGAGTACTATTTATATTTCGAGATCTTCTAATGATGCCCTTTCTCTTTTAGACAAGGTATTACTTGTCATTTAATTAAGTCTCATCCTTTTTCTGTTACTGTTCCTAAGGCTCATCAGTTCTTTGGAATTCACTTCCTTCATCTTGGTTTCCTGATTCATATAATTTGCAATCTTTCAAGTCGTCTGTCAATTGTTATCTTGCTCTACAATCTTCAACTTTTCTCTTCCAGTAACTTCCAACACTAATTAGTGGTTGCTTGCAGCCTTGTTGGAAGCATAGAAAAAAAAAATTAAAAAAAAAAAAAAAAAAGCTATTTCACCAGTATAGCACCTATGGTGAAAATGATTGGAAAATTTGATGGATCTGGAGATGTTGTAGTGTGGCTGAAAAAGATCAAAGGAGAGCTGCAAAAGAAGGGCGATCTTTCATTGATCAGTGGCAGTGCGTTTGCATTATATGACCAACTTGGGAAGAGCCAAAAAACCTCCACTGCGGACATTAAAAAAGCTCTGCTAGATGCATTTGCAGTCTATGGTTTCCAAGCTTACAAGCAGTTCAGAGATTGGAGATGAAATGACGATGAATCTGTCGATGTGCATTTGGCCAGTTTGCGTGAACTTATGGGTTTGACCAATATTGAAAGCCAAGAACTATTGCTAAGAGCTTTCATAACTGGATTGCCAGGTGAAATTTCAAAGCAGCTACAAGCACAAGTGAAAATATTTGAGATCAGTTTACAGGATGCATTAAACCATGCAAGAGTACCCATGACGGAAAAAACAAAAGAATAGTATGTTTCAACAACAATCTCTGGGTCTAAAAATGTTAAGAAACCATCCACTACTGATTTTAACTGCTACAATTGTGGCAAACCTGGATATGTTGCCCAAACCTGTTTTTCAAAGAAACAAATTGGAAGAGTGCACTTGTATAATGGAAAAATTGAATTTGGTTTTGTTTCAATTTATACAGAGAAACAAGCTGTTGGTATAAAGGACAAGGATTTTGATGCTTAATTTGATGTTACAAAGTGGACTGTTAAATATAAATGGAAACAAGGTCAACCAAAACTGAAAAAATTCTGTTGCGCAGTACAAGCTAAAATCCCAGTTGATACATCAATTTAATGATGAGATGGAAGGGTGAAAAATGGCTGGTTGAAACCATGCAACAAAGAAGAAAAAAGTACAGAAGGGATTGTCCTGTTAATGGCTGTTGAGCAGGAAAATAAAGGAAAATACGACCTGTTTTGGAATTTAACCAATCAAATCAGTATGTTAATTCACATAATGCCTCAAGGGACCATGGCCCACCGCAAGAACTGTTTATGGATAATGGAGCAGTTTTTAAATCCAGTGAATTTTCAAATATATGTGAAAAATGTGTGTAAAAAAAAAGTATAGATGTGCATATAGACCATCAGAAAATGGGATTGTGGAGCATAACCACTGCACAGTAAAACAAACAGCTGCAAGAGCACTGTTTGTTTTACTGTGCAGTGGTTATGCTGTGGTTTGTTTTACACAATATGTCAGTTACTAGCTTTATTTTGATACAATGCAACACTAACAATGGGAAAAAACCACCTGCTTCTGAAAAAAAAAAGTCTAGCATCTATTAATTCAAGAGGAGAAAAACACTAAAACTCAGAAAAGATTACAATGAGTTATAGAAACTTATAGAATTGGAGAAAAAGTTTATGTTCGCCCCACTGATGCAAAGTACACTTCAGTTTGAAAAATTTGGTACTGTTAAGTTTTTATTAGGTAGGCTCTCTTGTCAAACCCTAATTCCAACGCTGTCCTTAAGGTCCAAAAATGTAAAAAAAAAACTTCATTTAAAAGAGAATCTGCCTACCCCAAGTGTCTCAGTCGCACATACACTGACTGATTTAGAAAGAACTCTAAAATTCAGCCAAAACTGATATACTCACAAACACAAATATTTAAATTGACGGTGTACCGAGACATGTGTGAGATGTGAGAATAGCTCCCGCCTCAAATTTTTCAAATGCTTTAAGTAAAATTATTATCAGTGAAGAGATTGACAGTGATGAAAGTGATTTAGAAGATTTAAACATTTTTTCAGTACAAGAGGAGGGTACTAAAGAAAGAGTTGTTGACGCTGAGGAGGAAGCTGACGGCAGAGAAATCATTGGCAGTTTATTAACAGCGATCAGACAATCAACCAGAGAAAGGAGAAAGCTGACATATTTAAATGACTATGTTACTTAAGAACTTTAGTTCTTAAGTAACATAGTCATTTAAATATGTCGGCTTTTGCCATGGTTAAAGTTAATTGATATAATTTATTAGTCAAGTCATAAGCTATTTTTGTATATAATTACGCTCTCAAGAATTTTTGTTTCTGTATAAAGTTGTAAATAGAATTTAATAAACAGAGTCAAAATAAAAGAAAACAAAGTTGTCGAATTAACCCTAGAGAAGAAGCTTGAGAAAGAGCTTTTGTCACTGGCTTGCACGCATCATAATATGGAATTGACAATTGGTACAATTTTCCAAGTGTGTATGGGAGCCACATTTTCTCTGGAGGTTAAACTTTTCAAATGCTTCCAGAAATACTGGGGCTTCATAAACACAGCCAAGTCTAAACCAAGGATTACAGCTGATGGCGTGGCAAGCCTAGTAAAAGACATAAAGCAAGTCACCATCAATAATGCCTAAGTATCTTGATCAGAGTCAGCTGAAAGATAATTATAAAGATTACCTAGAACTTGTGATTTTTCTTGGTACTGCTTCTGCCAGAAGAGTACAACTAATGTCACACAGAGCAATGTACCATGTTCAATGAATGTCTAAAGTTATATACAGTCTCAAGATCTGGATGTTCAAGACTTAGTTCAAACTAGGGCTGTACCGGATTTCGGCTCCGGCTCCTGCTCCGGCCGAAATCCGGCCATTTTTACAAATCCGGCCCAAATCCGGCTCCGGCAAAAGTTTAGCAAATCCGGCATAATTTTAGCCGGAGTTTTGAATTTTGTCAAATATTTATTACATTTTTTTTGCCCGTGTTTACATGTATACCTAATATTTTATTTATAAAAATCAATTTTTTTTGTAATTCTATATTTTATGAACCTCATATTTGTTTTGGTATTTGTATTTATATTTCTTTATAATTTAATAAGCTTAGTCTAATTTCAAACAACAACGCAACAAAAAATTCTGAAGGGAAGACACACGATATTCTACAATGATGCAGGTATAAAGACTATGATGTCAACCCTAATCAAGTGATTGGATGAGCGTTTTAAAAGCATTGAAAAGAGAAACCTCTTTATATACTGACGAGGCTGGTTGACTCACAATTTAAAACTAAATTCTCCTCATTACAGGCAACACTGACAGCTGAAAAAACAAGATTGAAGTCAATCTGAGCATGCTGAACAGAAGATTGACAAAACTGAAGAAAATCCACCAAAATAAGCCGGGCTTAATAATTTTTCTACATCATCATCATCATTACTCTGGCAATTTATTGATAAAATTATTCAGTCTACGTCCGCTGGTGGCAGGGCACATAAACAACAATTACTAAAAGGCATTAAAACTCAACTAAGGAAATATCCGAAAGAACCAGAAATAAATAGACAAAATGATCCACTACAGTGGCGGAGTGACAAAGTCCCGGAAAAAAAGTTCAATAGAATTACTATAAACTTTTAAAACATATGGCCTATAGAATTTTTTTAGAATTTCTATTAATTTATATATAGAAATTGCTATAAAACTTTTTAAATAACAACAATTAAGTTTAACAGAAAACAGCAGTCACTTGGTATTCTGAATAGTCCACATTGACCATGCTCAACACCAAGTAGGGATGTACAGGATTTTGGCTCCTGTAGTTTTGTTTTGAAATCCGGCTCCAGCTCCGATTCCGGCTGGATCTGTCAGTAGAAATCCGGCAAATCCGGCTCCGGCCGGATTTGAAAAAATTAAATCCGGTACAGCCCTAGTTCAAACTGACACCCACAGAAGAAAGAGGATTACGTAATGTGTGTGTTCGCAGAATGAATCTATTTAAAAGCCTGAATCTCCACACCTCAAGCAGTAGGTGCTCCTTACAGTGACCTGCCGCTGCTGTCACTACTTAAATACTCATCAATAGTTATCTCAAAGTCAACATCAGGCAAATTTTCTAATCATTTGTGGTACTTATCACAAGAACTTGTTACCTTAGCTCAATTAATTAGAGTTGACTCAATTGTTCTCAATTAGTTAGACCTTAGCTCAATTAGTTAGAGCTGAATCAATTGTTCTCGAACAATTGAGTCAGCTCTAACTAACTAACAGATTGATGGTGAGTTCTATGCAGAACAAAGAAGATCAAGATCATTCCAGCAAATCACTGTTGCTCTTGATTCATGCAAAGGAAAGAACATGGAAAATTTTGTCGCAAAATTAATGACACTGTTCCAAATGGTAAAACTTACAGATGGATTTCTAATGGTTGATCTGGAAATGTTGGAGGACGGAGACAACTACAAGTAGGTGGCGAGAATAGTTTTCAACTATTTAGTCTCTAAAAGTTGTTGACCATGCAGAACGTGGAGTGGTACTGATTCAGAAACACAGCGTACTAATAATCTGAGATACAGCTGCAATTCCTGCTTCAAGTTTTCAAGGATCATCACAGAATATACCCTGATAGCAGGATACAGACTATATTCAGGCTGATGTTAAAAAAATAAATTTTGAGTTTTATAGACATTGTCAGACTGATACTATGAGCACTGTTTTAATTTGAACAAATAGTTTACTTTTAATGTGTTCAAAAATAAATATTGTGTTATTAAAAATAAATTAAAATATACTTATAATTCTTTGAATTTTCATAATTCATGTAACCTTTGAGGCATTTGTGCTACTGCTAAACATAAGAATTTATTGTTCGTACTTTTTAAGAAGTATTTCTATATGATAAGGAACAAATTAGGAAAGTAATACATTCAAAAATTATAAAAAAATTTTAAGCTCCATTTTGATGATGGTGACAATCATGATGATGATGACGATAATAATAATAATGATAATTTTTTTCTCTATTTTATAATGTACAACTTTTTTTACAATAATTTAATTGCAAATGAGCTGTAACTAATAAAATGTTTAAGGAATTTTATAATTAATGAATTAAATATTGAATTAATGAATTAAAAATTAACTGTTCATTTTTACAAAACTAATTTTGAGAAATTTGAACCAAATTTTCCTTTTAATTGGTTCTTACTATTTTAGTTGAGCAGATGCAGATAGACTGTGAAAATTTTTGAAAAAGAATATGGAATTATTTTAAATATAATCATTTAATATTATTA